TGAAGCATTGAGACTGCGACGACAACTGAGACTGCTGGCCGACGAGTAGGGCGGATGACCGACGTCCTTCCTCTGAAATAGCACAAAACAAAATGCAAAGCAGAGTGAAGAAGATGCACGGATAAACAACAGTTATAAAGTGAAATATAAAAACAGCTACAACTGGGCACAGGACTCCATGGTCAGCGCCTCCTGGCCTCCCTATCAGGCCGCCCGAACCATCAATATTAAGCTACACAGCCAACAGTCCGGCCTTTCGTGCTATTCTAAGCTACTGGTTTCCAACTTCTGTACTTGTCTCTACTTTTCCAACGAAAACAAAACTGCGTGATTACGTCCCCATTAATCGTAATTCCATCCCGCTACCGAATATTCCACGCAATCCTTTCTCAGAAACGTTTAAACTGTTGATAGCAACGAATTCATATAATCAGTGTATCAAAATAATGTTTAACGCACCGACTAATGGATCGATTTTGGAAAAAACATTATACTGAATTGGAATTATACTAATTATACAATCTGAATTGTTTTAAAGAGTCAATCTGACTCTAATTTAGTTTAAATCAAATCTAAATTTCAAGGATACCAAGACAGTCCGGAGAGGCGATCCCACGTAAGCGATATTACCGAAATGCGCTTACACGCATATTGACCTGAAACTGAACTAAACAGTGCGGAAAGCATACTCGGAGTCGAACAGACGGTTGAGCTGACGCTGAAATTTGTGGATCCGAATGGCCCAACGAGGAATTACGCAATCGTACTAGATTACCGGATGCTGCTGTATGGCTTGAACACGATGAATCCATCGATGTTTGACTAAGCATTCCTACAAACAGAAAAACATACAAAATTCGAATTCAAAACACAATCCAAGTGTAATAATAATAATATAACGGCAAAACATGTTTTTATTCCAGTTTCGATGCCCGTCGAAAAGACTCTGTTCTGGACCATGAAAATATGATATACGATTAATGAATACCAAAAACTTGTGGAATGGTATTCACGCGACATCAAATGAATATGAAGGCCATCAACAAAACAAAAGGACCCAACTGAATGTTTAAAGTGGATGAAATAAACTAAAAGCAAAGCTAAAAAGTTTCAGTTCCAGTCATGGCAAGGAGCACGAAGATCAAGTGGCGGCTTTCCGAAGAACTACGGCAAGGTTCCATAATCTCAAGATTATTCGGATTATCGGTGTAGAAATCTCATGTTATTGATATGAACGGAATATGCTGTTTTTCAATGTTCCCTTCAGGGAAGTACAGTCTAAAACTGCTAGCTTTTTTATTGTAGTATCACATACAAGAATATTGTAAAGGCGATGTTCTATCACCTTATCTCTGCTAATGGAATGCAAATTCTACCTTCCGCGTTCCCGATTTTGCTGTCAAAGGTTTTCCAGTTGTTGGCATCATCTAAAACGGAGAAACTAGATTCTCCTCACCGATGCATTACTGAAAAGCTCATCGAAGATAATGGTTTGAGATGTTTACCGAAGAACCGACCACCCCGGTGATGTAGCACTGGGTTAGAGTAAGGGAAATAGTTGTACAGCTGAAAAATCATGCTAAAAACTCACATATACTACTGCACTGTTACTACCATAACTGGCTTATTTACATTGATAATTATCTCTGTCATTCTCAGTAATAACGATAAAAGTGATAAATTAACAATAATAATAATAACTGTTATTATTATTGCCGCGTTTACTACTGATCCTGTTATGGATTTGATTATCATCAACAAAGACAAAAAAAGCGCGAGCGGAAGAAAGAATAAAATAATTGAAGCAAAAGAAAAACCAGAGGCATTTGGGAGTGAAGTCGAGAAGGCATGAAAGTGCAAGAGGGGCAGAAAAAACGACTAGGGCCTAAAAGCAAAACAGTGACTTTTTCCAAAGCACAAGGCATGTGTTCCCAGTGCTCTCCCTCATCCCTCAACTCTCCGCCATCGATTACGAATGAAAGCTTGACTGACTCGACACTAACGGAGTGCCAAGCCCTGACTTCCACAGTCGCTTCCCCAACTAGTAATTAGTTTTGGAAAAAAAACCCCAACAAACAGATATGCTTGCATACAGTGCTCTTTTCAAAAAATAATACTAATTTTTCTAAAGTATCGCATCTGTGAATCCCCAAGGATTCCCAAAAGTGAGAGCTAAAAGCTGCCGAAACCCCGTAGGAATTCTTTCAAATCCTTCATACACCCATTTTTTGAAGAAGTCAGACTGAAAAAAAAAGCGCCCGAAAAACAAGCACCAAAATGTGCCTCTTTTCTTCGCCTGAACTGTTCCGAATTGCAAACATAAATAGGAGCACAGTGCAGCTTATGCGGGGGACACATGTGAATAGAAACTTGACTTATGCAGACCGACATAATTGCTCAATTAAAAGCTTTGAGTGAAAAAGACAAATCATAACTTCGGAAAACCCGATTTTTGAGGGAAAAATTAGTAAGCACGATAAATTGCTCTTTGCCCTCCAGCCAATGCACTGGAAGTAATCAGAGCTTCCCCAATTTTCCTCATACTTTAAAGGCCGAATATAATTTATCGTGCTTTAAAGGCATTTTCTAGTAAACAACTCAGTTCTGCTCGCGGACCAGTCTGTGAGGGGCTAAATGATTGGGTGAGCCATCTGAAACAGCAGCAAATGGCCCGCATCCAAAGACATTCCAGTTCCGAACTGCTCCCATACCCAGTACAGTGAAGC